TGTTAGTTGATGATTTCTGAAAACCTAATTAGCACTCTTATTCTGTTTTTCATTCATTTTGCTTTTGAACTGTTTGTTGAAAGAAGTCTTTGTGGTCGACGAAGTTAGTTGAGAACTGGAATGGAGGAATTATAGTTATCTCTCTACCTTCATTGAACTGTGGAAATTCTCAAATCAGGCATCAGTTCAATGGGAGGTTGAGTTCAAACAAGTGACGGTTTGATCTCTTTTTGTAGTTTCGAGATAGTGTACAACTTGGATGGTCTTATGCCCTGTCCAGTTGAAATTTCCCCCTTATGATCAACTTATATCTGATGGATGTGTTTCCACTTTTGAAATGTTCGCCTCTATGTTATCCTCACATTTACCATGATGTGTATGTGCTTTGCTTATGCTGCAATCTGAAATCCCATCTCTATCGTTGAACTCGAGATTGTGTCACTTAATGGTTCTTTGGATTTTGACTACGCTGCGCATGCCAGTTCCTTTCACCTCCATTTATGTTTGCTAAAGGATGTTCTAATTTTGTTGATGCAGTGGCTCAAAGATATTCTCCACTTTCATTGGATTCCTTAAAAGCAAAGACCCCGGAGATGGAACAGAGCAGGCATTACTGAATGAGCTAACTTCTTTCGACGAATATATCAAAGAAAATGTGAGTTGACTTTCCTGTTCTCTTACAATGGGTGGTTAATTGCCTGGAAAGCATTAGGCTGCAGTAATCCCATGCCGCCGAAAGCAACTGAAACATAATCAGGTTGCTGAGGTGCTTAAGGTGTTGTCCAGCAATGGATCTGACCCCCATTTAACTTCTGCAGGGTCCTTACATCAACGGGGAAAAGGTGTCTGCAGCTGATCTGTCCCTCGGCCCGAAGCTATATCATTTAGAGATTGCTTTGAGTCATTATAAAAGTTGGTCTGTTCCAGACTCGTTGCCTCACGTCAAGTCTTACATGCAGGTATTTGGGAGACCAAACTCCAGAAAGATAATCTTGTATTTCTGTTGTATCATTGCGGCTTAGTTACTTCAGTTTCTGTATTTTCCTTCCGTTGATCGTGCTAAAGGATTCTGTTTCTTAACAGGCAATTTTCACCATGGATTCCTTTGTTAAAACACGGGCACTGCAGGAAGATGTTATTGCTGGTTGGCGGCCGAAAGTCTTTGGTTGAAGGAGACATCAGATGTGGAAACTGCCATCGGTTTGTCAATAAATGGAGAGAGAGAGAGAGAGAGAGAGAGAGTATGAAATATTTAGCAAGTGTTGTCAAACGTGGACTATGGTGCATTGATGCTGACAATTCGTGTTGAATACTTCGCGTCAATTTGCTCTCATGCAATTATTATATATAAAATGGGTAACTGAAATGTGTAATTTCACTGCCGGGTGTGGAGTGGTAATGAAATGGTCACAGATCTTTAAAACATGACATATTGGCCATAGAGTAGCACGAAGGAATGAGGGATGATAATTTTCTACACTTACCGTCGATTGTTTAGTCAAAGCTGCCTATTTAGCTTTGATTACGTGGCAAAAAGTATAAATTAAAACATAACATAGAGTGACTCAAGTCGAGAAATTGGTTAATCGCTTTAGGAAATCGGTCGACCGTCAAGAGTAAATAATGGATCGCTTCCGACAAATGATTGACTACTTGAGTAAAATTAAAAATATGACATACGCTATGTAAAAAAAAATATATATATATATAAACGTTGAGTTGATCGGATTTTGAGACTTGATACTGTACTTGTAATATTTAAAGCTTAAAAAGCTAGGTCTTAATTTTATAAATCTCACATGCCAAGATTTATTTAATTTGAAACTGTAATCGATGGTCATGATTCGTCAAAATACATCCAACAAATTATATGCACAATCTTGGTGTTTAGGGTCTATGATTTAGATAATTAAGAACTAGGATTCACTTATCAAGGGTCAGCATATAGTATCATGCCCCAAAATTTGATTAATTTGAGCTCTAGATACCATTTTCATACCAAGGGTATGTGGTACTCTAGATTTACTTTGGAGAACCATCTACTATGCTCCAAAGTCCGGTCAATTCAAGGCCTAGATAGTGTTTTCTTACGCCGGATATGAGGTATCTCCAAATTTACCATGGATACGATAAAACTCCCCACCTATATAAAATATAGGTAAAAAAATGACTCAATCCTTGAGTATACCGTACTACAAGGGATTTAATAGTTGGATGTACTTTGTTGCATTTCGAAGACTCAAAATCATCGATTATTTTTTTTATTAAATTGATAATCGAGTTTGGGTTTAAAGAATCAAGACTTAAACTTTGTCCATTAGAGGTCATGAATCATGATATAGTATCATACCTCAAGTTCAGTTTAATTCATTGTCTGGATAGAAAAATTTCAGTTTAATTTTTTTTTACTTAAAAATCAGGCTAATTATGCTCTTGAAAATGACATTCACTTTGATATATTTTGTAAAAAAAAAGTCTATACCATGAAAATAATATTTTATAGTACATAAAATTACACCATTTGAAAGGATATAATTGTTGTATGCATATCATATTAGGAATATACTAATAAACATATACCACATTTCACCACCATATTTATTTCAATGAATTGTAGCGGCTTCTTTTTCACCATCATAATTGTTTTATTACTCTCTTATCCTCTGACATTTTTTGTTTACTTCATGAGATTCATGGTTTGCTTTCTCTGTCTTTTTAGTATGTTCGTGAGAGTTGTTATGTGGTCGCACATATTTTGTGGTCTGTTTCAAGAAATTTGTGGTCGGATTTATGAGCTTATGGTCTGCTTCAGGGTATTTGTCATCGACTTTAATGAGGTTTTCAGTATGTTTTGGGAACTTGTGGTCAGGTTTTCATGTGATTTTTGGTTTGCTTCAAAGAACTTGTGATGGGCCTTATGAGGTTTCTGGTATGCTTCAGGAAACTTGTGATCGATTTTATGATGTTTCTGGTCTGCTTCAGGGAGGTTGTGGTCAACTTTGATTTTTCTGGTATGCTTTATGAATTTTTTGGTGTGATTAGGTTTTGGTATATTTTATAAGCTTTCTGGTCTACTTTATATCATGTGTGTTGTGGTTCGTTGGGTTTATAGTGTGCTTCATGACACTTGTGATCAGGACGGAGTGGGAAATAAATGAGCAACACCACACGTATGTTCCCCTATAATTTAAAAAAAATGACAAACGTGTCTTCCATTTAAAAATCGACTTTAATTCTAATAAGCTCCTTAAAATTAAACAAATCATCAATACAAATTACAAAATATTCCCATCAACGGGAGTTAGAGTTAACATTGAGTGAGTGTAAACACCTGTCCTCATTATATACAAAAAAATTATGTTCTATCCGTATATTGGCTTTATATATTGACTTCGTGTTGGGTATCTATCGGAATTCAGAAATGAGATCTGCTTCCACTTCCCATGCTAAATAAATAAATAAATTTAAGAATTCCGATGCACATCAGATCAGATATTCCCCATGCAACCCACGTTCTTGACTCTGCCATTTCCATTGGATTTTGTACAGAATAATACCATTTATTGACCAGACCAGCTTCTTCTTTAGTGTCGACCTATTAATTCAGGGGAATGAGTAGGCGCAGCCAACGACTTCATTTGTTTCTTACAAGGTTGTCAACCCGCGGGTTGACCCACGGGTCGACCCAATTTGACCCTGACCCATTGAGAAAAACGGGCCGCACGCACCCGCCGGGCCGACCGCTATAAGGTACCGGGTTGGAGGTCAAATTGTATCATTTTTTTCTTTAGTTTGCGAAATGCGCCTATTTTCCAATTTTTATTTTCGCCTAACTCAATCTTTGGAATACTAAGTTGAACATTTGAATATTTATGTTATATAAGTATGTGTGGATTTTCACTATATGTTGGATCTAAGTACGATATGTTATTTTGGTGTAATATTTTATGTTATAACTCATATGTTAGATAAGATTTGATATAATTTATGAGGATAAGTACAATATAATAACTCTTTCTATATTTCCGGGCCAAACCGGGCTAAAACGGTTGACCCATTAACCCTTGACCCACTAGCTCGACCAGGTCCGGGTCAACCCGCGGGTTGACAACCTTGGTTTCTTACCAAAAGCCCTCAAAGACTAGCCAGCCATGATATAGGAAGTGTTCGGTGTACTTAGGTTAATTACTTTGTATTACAGAGTGCCCCCTCTTCTTTTCCTATCGAGAAGAATCACTAATTCTATGTTAATTACTTTATATATTATGGATGCTAATCGCGGATCCTTCAATATCTCAAAGGATCACCTGTTCAAGAAGGCATCTTCTTTTCACATGTACTAGCCTACTACGTTGCGGACGACATAGGTTATCGATAGACACGTCGCTCTATTTTATCTTATGACGTACGAAGAAGCATACTGTATAGTGGCTCGCTTCTCTACCGAGGTCCGAGTAGACAACCATAATTAATTACGCAACGTAATAAACTTTTAGTTCGCCTAAAACCTCAGACTGACTTTTAAATCAGAAATCAAGGTCGCACTGCCACCATTTGGGACTGCGATCTAATAATCTAACCGATCATCGATGCATGCGTAGTTAATCAACAGAAATAAATAACTAAAACCGTACGGAAGAATAATTTAATAATTAAAGAGAGAAAGCGGTCAAAAATGTCATCCAGGCCACCTACTCCGAGCAGCCAGCTAGCAGCATAGATCCCATAAATTTGGACTATCCCCACAATTTGCTCTCCCCAGAATCTAGTCTAATTACTACTTAATTGATTAATCAGGTTCATCTGTCCATTGTCAGGGTTAATTGATTACAAGAAGACACGTCATTCCTGTCCTATTCTAGGTAAGAGAAAGGAAAATGACAATATATGATAGTTTTGATTACATTACATTTCTTAATTAAGTACATTATATTAGGAAATCCATCAATGAAGTTGTGATGACCAGATTATTGTCATGAAATATAGTACATTATATATCTCTTGTCTCTTCTAATTATGAAAACAGCCAAAAACCATGGCGGAGTAACCAACCAACAAACAAACAAATCCGGCCGGCCGGCAGAGTATCGATCAGTCGACAGATTAATACAATTAAAACGAAAACAACAAAGTCTGGAATCAATAAAAAAAATTAGTTCTGCCTGGTCGCAATGTAATTAGCGAAATGGTAAAGCGGGGCGGCCTTAACCGGATCAAACCCGGCCAGCTCCTCACAGGCCTGGCCCACCAGCTCCCCAGCAAACCTCCGGGCCCCATCCAGGCCCAACAACTTCGGGTACGTCGCCTTATCGCTCGCCAGATCCTTCCCCGCCGTCTTCCCCAGCTCCTCCGACGACCTGGTCACGTCCAAAATATCATCCACCACCTGAAACAGCAGCCCCACGCGCAGCGCGTACCTCCTCACCTTCTCCACGCTCTCGTCGTCCGCTCCCCCGAGAATCGCGCCGCAAACCACGGCCGCCTCCAGCAGCCTCGCCGTCTTGTGAATGTGTATGTACTCCAGATCCTAGTAGGATTACAATTTATGTAAGTGACACACTCGATTAAGTGACATTTATTTATTTATGTATTTATTTATGTGGGCGCTCACCTCGAGCGTGACGTCCACGTCGCCCTCGCTGGCGATGTCCACGATCTGGCCGGCCACGAGGCCGGCCGACCCGACGGCGGACCCGAGCTCGGCGATGGCGCGGACCACGCGGTCCGGGGAGACGGTGCTCGGGGTGCGGGCGGCGACGTGCTCGAAGGAGAGGGAGAGGAGGGCGTCGCCGGCGAGGATGGCGGTGTCCTCGCCGTACTTCTTGTGGCTGGTGGGGAGGCCGCGGCGGAGGTCGTCGTCGTCCATGCAGGGGAGGTCGTCGTGGATGAGGGACATGGTGTGGACCATCTCGGTGGCGCAGGCCATGGGGAGGGCGAGGGACTGGTCGCCGCCGACCATCTCGCAGGCGGCGAGGCAGAGGACGGGGCGGACGCGCTTGCCGCCGGCGAGGAGGGAGTAGCGCATGGCCTCGTGGATTTTGAGCGGGCGGGCGAGCGGGATGGATTGGTCGAGGGCGGCGTTGACTAGGGCGGCCTTGGTCAGCATGTAGGCGTTGAAGTCGAAGTCCGGGAACGGCGGCGGGGCGGCGGCGACGGCGGCGGCGGTTTTGTCGAGGGGAGCGACGGAGGAGGAGGAGGAGGCGCGGAGTTTGAGAGGGCGGAGGGATGGGGCGGTGGTGAGTGTGATGGGTTGCTTGAAGAGCACGGAATTGTGGGTGAAGGGTTTTGTGAGGAGGAGGGATTGGTGACGGTGGGAAGAAGAAATGGTGGCGGTGGCGGCGGAGGCGGCGGCGGAGAAGGAAGAGGAAGCCATGGCTGGTTTGCTTTTGTGTTGGTGGTGTTCTATTGCTGCTTGCTGGTTATTTTGATTATGGGTGGGGAAGAGTGTTTTTGGGGTGTTTATAAAGGAGGGAGGGGGAGGAGGAATAGTTTCAAAATTTGTTTGTTTATTATAATATGAAATGTGGCAAATAAGGTTTGGCCTAGTGATATCATTAGTTTTGAGTCTATTCAATAACTATCTAATTATAATTTTTTTATATCTAAATCATCTTTACAAAAAAGAATATGCAAAAATGTGGTGATCAATATTTAAGTAATACCACTAGATATCGAATATCAAATGGTAAACAGTTTTGGTGATATGATAACGATTGAATCACGATTAAATCACAACTTTAGACTTGAATATCGTATCACCCCTGAATTTTCCGGTATAATCTTCGATACCGTTTTAAAATTTCGATAGGAAGTAGGAAAGTAAACTAAGATTAAGCACATGGGTTGGAGAAAGAGACCAAAACTGAAGAAATGATAGGATATATGATTATGCTGATGGCTGGGAGTTGGGATGATTCCTTGGTTTGGGAGTTTGGACGGACTCGGATTCCGTGATGATAATGGTCATCTTTGGCGGGTGCGGGATTGGGGCTCTGTTTTATTTTATTTTATAACAACTTGGTTGGTGGGATTTTCCTTACGTGGAAAAGGAAGACTCCTTAAAATAACAATAACAATATGACTAAAAACCATACACTTGAAGAGATTGTTCAGTTTCATTTTACAAGACTATACTATTTTTTATTTATTATTCATAAAGGTTGAATCATATTATTGATGTTATATTGTTATTTATTCCACAATTTTGACTAACCCTCAAGGACAAACTTTAATATTTTGGGATAGAAAATTGCTAGCATTATATTGGACGTTTCTTTTTTGGCGGTTCACTTTGCAAGATAATTATAATGTTGTGAAGATAAATCAAGAAAGTGTAATCGATTTCGTAGGTCTATCAGGTCATGATTGTTCGATCTTGTTTGCTTTTAGTAAAATTTATGATGGTATCTCGGATGTCCTTATAGTTGAATTACTTTCTCACCGAGATGCTATGCGACGGTGTCTAATGCGTTAAATTTTTGTGGTGACATTGGGCAGTGATTCGCAAAATGATTGTACGACGTGCTCTATTGAAGAAACCTATACTCACTCGTTGGTTGGGTATCTTGGTGGAGATTTATTTTCGTTTTATATAATTAGTGTCTATATCGTGTCTTCTTCCTCACCATTTGAGTCTCTTGTCATTTTACTCGTTTTTTTTTATTTCGACACAATCGATCATACGATGACAAAACAATCTCTCTCATCGATCGATGAGTTGCCTACGAACTACCGTATTTGATTGTATAGGTCATTCTGGTAGCGGAATCTTTTGTGCTGCGCCATTTAAGTTTGGCTTAGGAAAATATAATTACATACACTTGAAGCGTGAGAAATCGTCCGTCTTGGAAAGGAGTAGGAAGGGAAGATTAGTTTGTGGTAGCGATATGAAATGCGGCGGCCGATGCAAATTTTCTCTTATGATTTGAAAGATTGATACAAGTTTGACCGAAGCATGGATGAATATTTGATATGTCAAATGAAATGATCTTTATGAGTTTCCATTTTCCAAATCCATCAGTCATATTAGTCATCACTGACCAAGGAGGAGAGTATGACTTCTCCTCTTTTTTGGGTTTATTATATAAACTTCTTGTTGACAACAACAACAACAAAAAAATGTAGACGCCGTTTACTGTTCTTCAGTGTTTTGTGTTTCAACGGACCAAAAATTATGGAACTACTGTGATACCAAAGCAGAGGATCTCAGAAACTCCAGCCGCTTCTTCGTCAGCTTGATCTTCTCTTCTGCCTCTGCTGCTTTCTCCCTAACCCCACGGACCACGTCCCCTGGAGCCTTCTCCACGAACTTGGGCGAAACGAGGCGAGCTACGAGACCCTCGTACTCGGTCTCCATCTTGGCTAGCCGCTTGCCAAGGCGATCCACTTCAGCAGATATGTCGACCATGTCAGCAAGTGGGAGATACGCTTCCAGTCCTTCGCTTGCAACAAGGTGCACGCACTTGTTCGCCTCCTCTGGAGGGCAAGTGGCGAACTGGACGTTCTGTACGTCTAGCCGGGATAGAAGGGCCAACACTTCCTTCTCATTCTGTGATAGACATTTAATTATTTCGGTTTATGTCGGTTTGAATTATTTAGTTCGGGATTATTTTGGGTATTGGGAATATTGTGGGGGATTAATAATTTGGGGGAGTTAGTAGGTAATTGTGTTTTGGGTATTTAGGCTATTGTTTACGTAGAGAATGGCAAGCAAGAATTAAACCTAAAACTATCTCTCTCTCTCCTCTCTTCCTCTCTGGCGGCCGAGCCTTCTTTTCCCTCCCCAAAGCTGCCGCACGGCAGCAGCCTCCTCTCTTCTTCTTCTCTTCCCAAATTCCCTAAATCCCTCTCTCTCAATTTCCCTCAACCCCGGATCAATCCCTAGTTGATCCCCGATCCCCAATTGTCCGATAGAGCTTGACCTAGAGTTCTACCATTTGGTATCAGAGCCCGGTTCTTGGGTTCGATCACAAACAGCGAAAGAAGGGTGCAATGGTGTCCACAAAATCGATGACAGCGGCGGAGAAGGCTGCCAAGGCGGCGGCGCCGGAGCAGGCCTCCACCGCGGTCTCGACCGGGCTGCCGGTAGCTGGCGGCGGCAATCAGGGGGCCACCGATCCGCGGGACGGTGAGCTGGTGGACGAAACTGAAAGGTTGGAGCTGATCCAGTCTACTTTGGATCGCCTGGTAGCCGAGTTCGAGAAGGAGCGCAAGGAATGGCGGGCGCTCCGGCAGGAGCAAGGCGAACAGCGGCGGGAACAGGAGGAGGAGTCCCGGCGAGTTTGGAAGCGGTTTGATGAGGTGCAGAGGGTCGTGGAGGCGCTGGCCGCCGCGCAAGCCACTGGGCCGAAGGGTGGCGGCGGCGGCGATGGGAGCGACAGCCGGAGCGGGCTGGGAGGCTCGACGGCGGATGGAGGCGCGGTGGCGAACACCGTAGCGGCGGCGGGTGGCGCGACAGCGGGGGCGATGGTGGTGGCGGAGGCGCCGCCCCCAACGGCGGCTGTCGAGGTGGTTGACGCGGCGGAGATGGTGCCCGGTGCTGGGGAGCGAGTGGGCCAGGGTCAGCCAGGGCGCAGCGGTGGGCCTGGGCTTCTACCGACACCAACGGCCCAGGAGTTGGCGGCCCGCAAGGGTAAGGCCAAGATGCCTGGGTACGACAATGGGCCTCCGCCGACTGGGCAGGGGCCGCCTAGGCCAATGGGCTGGAGCGACACAGTGGGCCAGTACCACGAGCCCAGAGGACTGGGGTGGCTGACCATGGATCGCGAGCGGATCGAGGAGGAGCGCAGCCTGGTGGGCCAGAACGCACCATGGGCCGACCCGGCGGGTGGCGGGGACTATTTGGGCCCGGACGTGACAGGGGCCCAGATCGTGCAGGTTAGGCCGGGCCAGGAGGGCCGATTCGGGCCAGGCCATGAGGGCCGGTTCGGGCAGGTTTGGGCCGGGCCAGGAAGGCCGGTTTGGGCCGGGTGGACCGGGGCTGGGTCGAGGAGGCGGCTCGGCTGGTCAGACCGACCCGGGGCTGACCGGGTCGGGTCGAGGTGGGTCGGGTCGGGGCGGACCCGAACCGGGTCGAACCGATAGTGGACCGAACCGGTTCGAGCCGGGGCTGGTTAGATCGGCCAGCATGGACCCGAACATGTGGCGCGGATCGCACGGTGCAGGGAATGGGGCAGGACCGGTGGGGCGAGGGCCCGCAGGCAGTTTTGGGCGAGGAAGGGGGACTCCGTTCTACCCAGACCAGCCAGGGGGTGCTCCCGGTTATGACAGGTATGGTTCGTATCACCCTGCTTATGATGGAGCTGATGGGATGGTCTTTCGAGCTAAACCCCCGACCATTGAGTTTCCAAAATTCAATGGTCAGGAGGATGCAGGGCTGTGGTTGTATGCAGCAGAGAGGTGGTTCAGAAACCACCCCATTCCGGAGGAGAGGAAGGCGCATCTGGCGTCCTTCTACTTAGAGGGAGAAGCGCTGCAGTGGTGGGAATGGATGGAGAGGTCCTATGGGGCGGTGGGAACTCTGATCACTTGGCCGCTGTTCCAGGAGGAGCTGCGTTATCAGTTTGGGAAATCGGAGGGGTGGGCCCCAGAGCAGTTGGCTAAGCTGAAGCAGACTGGCTCTGTTGCGGACTACCGTGCAGAGTTCTTCAAACTGGGCAATCAGTGCCATGGGGTTCCGGAGGAGACACTGGTGGGGCTGTGCATGGCAGGCCTGAAGCCGGAGATTGCTGCTGCTGTCCGGATCTTTGAGCCGGATTCCGTGAAATCTGCTTTTCGTCTTGCAGGGTACAAGGAAGAGGAGCTGGCGAGTTGGAGGAGCACCATGGGCCGCAATCCGCGGGCAGGGGGCGCCGGGAGCAGTAGCGGACTCAGCGGTGGAGGAGGAGGAGCGGCTGGGGCCGCGGTTGGAGCTGGAGGACCCACGGCGGCACAGGCGCCAGTAGCTGTCGTGAAGGGTGGGGCACGACCTCCGCCCAAGGGATTTGTGCGACTATCCCCTGCGGAGATCGAGCATAAGCGGCGGGAAGGGAAGTGTTTCAACTGCGACGAAAGGTTCACGATTGGCCACAAGTGTGCACGTCCGGACTTGATGATGCTGGTAGGGAGGTGGGAGGACGAGGCGGAGGATGAAGCGAGAGACGGGGAAGACGCAGGAGAAGGCTACCAACCTTGAGGACAAGGTTGTTTTGAAGAGGAAGGGAATGATAGACATTTAATTATTTCGGTTTATGTCGGTTTGAATTATTTAGTTCGGGATTATTTTGGGTATTGGGAATATTGTGGGGGATTAATAATTTGGGGGAGTTAGTAGGTAATTGTGTTTTGGGTATTTAGGCTATTGTTTACGTAGAGAATGGCAAGCAAGAATTAAACCTAAAACTATCTCTCTCTCTCCTCTCTTCCTCTCTGGCGGCCGAGCCTTCTTTTCCCTCCCCAAAGCTGCCGCACGGCAGCAGCCTCCTCTCTTCTTCTTCTCTTCCCAAATTCCCTAAATCCCTCTCTCTCAATTTCCCTCAACCCCGGATCAATCCCTAGTTGATCCCCGATCCCCAATTGTCCGATAGAGCTTGACCTAGAGTTCTATCATTCTGCAGCAAGTTCAGAAGTGAAGTCATGACTTTAAGTTTTGGACATCAAGTCAAGCTGCTAGTCTGGTCTCAAGATACATTAAGTTTGCAGAAGAGACAATGATTATAGGGATACTTACAGAGATATACTGGACGACGTCTTTGCTGGCAACTATTGATGCAGAAATGCGCTTGGCTGGCTCTACGGAATATTCTGCTCGAGCATTTCGGATTGCTCTAGTCTGAGGCATTAATTAAAAAAGCTAATTAAAACAGTTTGAAATACAGAAACATCCAATGAATGTAGAAAAAGGGCCAATGACTGTATCCAGTTAACAAGAGTGCCAGACTCACTAAAGCTTGGAAGTTTTCGAATTGCCTTATCGAGTTAGCGTGCCGTGGAAGGGAAGTCTGGGGCCATGAAGAAATTATTAGAGCTTCTTTCCGGTTAGGGAGAGCCTGTGACCAAATTCAAACCACAAAATAATTAATAGAGTTGCTTTATCCCAAACTGGAACAAGGGAGGCAATGGTTACATCTTTCATCATTATAAAAAGAAGCCTGGAATGAGCTATACCAGAGTCATGATTTAGTTTAAAACTCAGTACCTGCCAAAGTTCTTCAGTAACAAAGGGCATAAAAGGATGCAGCAGCTTCAATATATTTTCAAACACGTATAATAGAACAGCTTGTGCCAGAGAAGCAGTTGAATCTCCTCCTGACTGGTATAAGCGAGCTTTACTGGCTTCGATGTACCTGGTGAGAAGTTAGCCAGCAGTCAACATCGAAGCTATGAAATGTTCTTACAGAAGACATAATGTGCAGCAACCCAATTATGTTTCTTTCTGATTGGCAACTCACAGGAATTGTTTGTTGATTTGAACCCTATTGACTTCCCTTAACATCTGCTTATTTGAGCATACCATTTCATGTTACCACATTTTGGTAAAGGCCATGATTAAGAAGCCTATCAAGTACTTCCTAGTTAAGATAGTCAAGTTACAACCTTCACTCTAATGGTACTCTAGACTCCCAAGTCTCATTTAGCCTTAATAGTTTTTCCTTCTGAGAGGTAAGAAAAGAGTAGTGCAAGGAACAAATTGAAAGGGAAAGGAAACAACAGTAGATGTTCTCTGGAAAATTGAGGGAGGGCACAGCCCAAGGCAAGCATGTCTTTCAGTATATAAAAAATGTACGCATGTTCTGAGATATAGATGGATTCTACATACCAATCAGCGAAATCACTCCAAAAGAAATCATAGATTTCTCTTCCGACATCTCCAAAGAAATATTTGTCATAGCTTGCAGTGACTGTGTCAATGAGCTCATGAAGTTCTGACACCTAAAAGTTCAATTAGCTTTTGGATAGAACATGATGAACTAAAGCAGAAGAAATGAACGAAAGTTATATTTCTTACCACCCAACATTCAGGTAAAGGTAGACTGAGAACTGGCTCCTCTACATCAAACTGAAAATCGCATTAGGGAGCGTTAGTTTACAGAACCAGTTATTCCACTTTTTTAAAGAGAATTGTATTCTCCAAAGCCCAAATATATCAACAAACCTTATGAGCCAGTATTGCTGCCCAAGCTGATGCATCAGTTTGGCTAGGCAAGTTTTGTAACACAAACTTACCCGCATTCCATAGTTTATTAGTGAATGCTTTATTAGCAGTCAACCTTTCCATTGATAAATTAAGATCCTGGATGAAAATGTGAACATCCATGGTAAGAATCATAATAAACAAAATTAGGCAGATTGATTGCATCATAACATTCATATTCCTGATGCAGAGCCATGCAGTTAGATGCAGCCACTAAAGGTTATGTAAGGCAACAGAACCTGGCCAGCGGTTCCCAGCGCAAGAGTGAATCGCAAAGCATCAGTACCATACTCCTTGATTGTATCCAGAGGATCTATTACATTCCCTAGTGTTTTAGACATTTTTCGCCCCTGAAATAGAAAAACAGCAGTTGTTTAGTAATCTGAAAGAGCCAACACCAAGCAAAACAAGCTCAAAGTCACTTGTGCATCCCGAATAAGTCCATGAAGATAAATATTTGAAAATGGAACTTTCCCGGTAAGCTCAATTCCCATCATGACCATCCTTGCCACCCAGAAGAACAAAATATCATGCCTGTTCAAGGGAAACAGTAACAGCATTCAAAATTAACGGATTCAGCTTCAATACTAGCCCAATTAACTAGTCGATCCCCACTAAGAACTACGGGTATATTATAGTAACTGACATCAGCATGTCAGATCATACATTGAGTGTGAAGCCAATCGGAAGAGAATAAACAAGGGGAATAGCCATAGAACAATGATGCTAAGGAAATATCACATACATACCCAGTTTCAAGCATTGTTGTTGGGTAGAACCTCTTAATGTTAAATTGAGAAGAACTTCCAATCGTAAATAACGAGACAAGCGATTTTAACGTGGTATCCCCGATGGTGATCGGGACTAATCCACGGGAGGGTTGAATCCTCCAGCTACTGATTTTATTCAACTGGAATTGTTGACGGCATAAGCCGAGTACAGGAGCTATATAAACCCTTTCGACAAGTATCTAGGGTTAGTTTATTACTTGTGTCCTTGGAGAACACGGAAACCATGCAGGTCATGGGTTGCTGTATCACGTCTGTGGGTTTTGGTGCCTCGGCCATGGGCCGAGCCGACTCCTGGTCCAACACTCCCCCGCAAGCTGGAGCGTGAAGATCACGAACGTTCAGCTTGGAAAGTAGGAAGCGGAAGCGATCAGTGCCCAAGCCTTTCGTGAGGATGTCGGCAAGCTGCAGATGAGTGCTGACCTTGAGAGGTAGTATGGCGCCCGACTGCACCCTTTCACGGACAAAATAGCAATCCATTTCGACGTGCTTGGTGCGCTCATGGAACACTGGATTGGCAGAGATGTGTAGAGCCGCCTGATTATCACAGTATAGGGGTGTGGCTCGCTGTTGTGGAACACCAAGCTCAGAAAGTAACCAGCGGAGCCAGAGAATTTCACTGACCGTGCTAGCCATAGCTCTATATTCTGCTTCTGCAGATGACCGTGCCACCACCTTTTGTTTCTTGGTCCGCCAGGAGACTGGAGCGCCGCCGAGAGTGATGAAGTATCCAGTCGTGGACCTGCGAGTACTCGCACACCCACCCCAATCTGCATCACAATAGGCCGTTAGGGTAAGATCATTTTGTAAAGGGAAGAAAATCCCTTGCCCTGGCGAGGTCTTAAGGTACCGGAGAATGCGCAAGGCCGCATCCATGTGACAGTGGCGGGGAGCATTGACAAACTGACTCAAGACGTTAACCCCATATGTGATATCCGGACGGGTGACCGTCAAGTAGAGAAGACGACCAACTAGGCGCCTGTACATGGATGGATCGGCAAGTGGAGCATCATCAGGGTCGGGGCGAGTCAGGTGATGATTTTGCTCGACGGGAAACCGGCTAGGTCGAGCGCCTTCCATCCCTGCATCTTCAAGAATGTCCAACGCATACTTACGCTGGCATAGAACAACCCCATCACGAGTTCGAGCCACTTCCATCCCAAGAAAATAACGAAGATCCCCCAAATCCTTGATGCTGAACTTTTCATCAAGGAAGCGCTTGACATGGGTGATGAAATCCAGGTCATTCCCAGTCAAAAGAACATCGTCGACATAAATGAGAGCAACCACAAAGGTACTCCCCCGCCGAAAAATAAACAAGGAGTGATCAGCGGGCGAGGAACGAAAGCCAAGACTGCAAAGTGCTGTAGTGAACTTCTGGTACCAATTACGAGATGCCTGTCGTAGGCCATAAAGAGACTTGTGGAGGCGGCAAACTCGGGCATCACCGGGAGCCGCAAAACCAGGGGGAAGCTTCATATAAACTTCCTCATCGAGGTCCCCATGAAGGAACGCGTTGTTGACGTCGAGTTGGTGAAGGTGCCATCCTCGGCTAATAGCGATCCCAAGAAGACATCGAACGGTGACCAGCTTGGCCACAGGAGCGAAGGTGTCATGAAAATCGATTCCTTCGAGCTGAGTGTAACCCTTGGCCACAAGACGGGCCTTGTAGCGCTCGATAGACCCATCGGGGCGATACTTTATCTTGAATACCCATTTGGCGGCAATGGTGCGTTTCCCAGGGGGCAGGGAGACGAGACTCCAAGTGCCATTTTGCTGGAGCGCACGGATCTCCGCAAGCATTGCCTCACGCCAACGGGGATCAGCTAGTGCTTCTTGAACAGTACGCGGCACATCGTGACTGGTTACTGCAGCAAGAAAGGTGCGGTAAGCAGGAGTAAATTTGTCATAGGAAACAAAATTTGAAAGGGGATGAGTAACAGTAGCAGAGGTGCTTCCCTGTGACAAAGAAGTGGCGGGCTGATTATTTTGTGAAGATGCTGCATGGAGTGGTGCATAATGGGTCTCGTAGATCCCCAAATGCTTGGGCCGTGTCCGGACGCGGTCACTGCGGCGCACGGGCTGCTGTGGTGTGTTTGGATCAAGCGGGCCCGAAGTAGTGGCAGCAGGCGATGGGCCTGCCACGGGTGAAGGGGAGGACGGCCCAGAGGAACCGGTGGGCGGAGGAGAGCTGGGGGCGCTCGCACCATCTGAAGCGGGTCCAGCAGGTGGTGTTTCATGGGCCGGCCCAGACGGATGGAGGTCCGCCAGCAACTCGTCATCAGAGTCGGGATCGGTGGTGGAGATGATGGGCCGCGGGATCCAGTGGAGACGGCCGGCAGTAGTAGAGTGAAAAGGGAAATCATCTTCAATGAACTGAACATCACGAGCAGTGAAGGTTTTCTGGGTGGCCAGCTCGTAAAACCGATACCCTTTCTGTGTAGAGGCGTATCCAATGAATACACATGCCTTCCCTCGCTCAGCAAACTTGTCAATTGAGGCATGGGTATCCTTGACGTATGCAAGACACCCAAAAACCCGGAGGTGCGAATAAGGTGCTGGCCGTTCGAACAGGACTTCAAAAGGGGTGCGACCTGTAGCGGTAGTGGGCAAACGGTTGATTAGATAAACTGCAGTAAGAATACACTCACCCCAGAACTTTATCGGTAGATTAGCTTGAAAACGGAGCGCCCGTGCTGTGTCTAGAATGTGCCGGTGTTTTCTCTCGACCACACCATTCTGTTGAGGTGTGTCAGTACAAGAAGTTTGAAGCTGAATGCCCTCACTGTCGTAGTAAGCTCGAAGAGCCAGAGTATTAAACTCATGACCATTGTCTGCCTGGATTCGCTTAAGTCGTTTACCAAACTGTCGTCGAATCATCTGATCAAAAAACATCAAGTAGCGCCCGACTTCGGACTTAAAACGAAGCAAATAAACCCATACTGCGCGACTGAAATCATCAACGATAGTGAGAAAATAATGGGCACCACTAAGCGAGGCAGTCTTGTAACCACCCCAAATATCCACATGGATCAAATCAAAACACTGCTTAGTACGAATCATGCTAGAAGGAAAGGGGCTACGAGTCTGTTTGGCCCGAGAACATGATTCACAAGGTTTATTGGAAACAAAAGAAATGCTAAGCTCCTTGCGAAGGTGCTGTAGTTTCGCCGGGGAGGGGTGACCAAGTCGTGCATGCCAGATTTCATACCGTACCTTGCTCTGCTTCGTCGCCGCACAAACTTGAACCTGTCCAACACCAAACAGTCGCAAATAGTACAACCCATCACGCAGTTCACCCTTCCCAATCAACTTCCTGGATTGTAAGTCCTGGATGACGCAAAAATCATCAAGAAATATTAAGGCCATACGATTCTCTCTAGTAAATCGACTGACCGAAATTAAGTTGCACCGGAACTCAGGGACGTGCAGAACACGATTCAGCGTAAGATCAGGGCCCAAAACAACACTTCCAACGTGTGCAACAGGTATACAGTCACCATTAGGTATGCGTACTGGCTGCCCGTTCACGGGCTTCATCTTGTTGGTTAACAAGTCATCACGCATGATAATGTGTTCGTTACAGCCAGAGTCCAACAACCACTCAGTGCTTAAAGAAAACGTACCTGCTACATGGGCCGAGGGGTCTTCAGCACCCTTGGCTTGATACCCAAAGAATTGTTTGAGCTGCTCCAACTGTGCCAACGTAAAGCCAGCAACCGGGCTACGCTCGTCCTTGTCGTGCTCGACCTGAGCAGCTCGCGGCTCTCGATCACGATCGCGCGCCGAGCCCCCTCCAGCAGAACGACCCTGCTGTCGACGCCATTGTTGTTCATTCGGTTTGTCACGGGTGTCACGAGCATCAGGATTTGGACGAGACTCACGCCCATCACGTCCCTCGCGACCTTCACGACCTTCGCGCGGGGGGTATCCATGCAGCTGGTAGCATTGGTCACGGAGATGACCAAGCCTTTGGCAGTAGGTGCAGCGAGGTTTTTCCTTCCCACCACGTGCTGGAGCACGATCATCCTCGTTGCGAACAGAAAAGGCGGCCGCTTCGGCCGAAGGTTTACGATTTTGTGTGATCAAGCGCTGCTGTTCGTCATTGATGGTGATGTTAAACGCCTCAGCCAAACTCGGCGTGGGCTTCATGGCGAGAAGCTGGGTGCGAACACCGGAGAACGCATCGTCCAACCCCATCAGAAAGTCAAAGAGGCGTGAGCTCTCTTGCTGCTCACGGATGCGAAGCGAGACGCCACAGGTACAGTGGCCGCATATGCAGCTGGGGGTTGGCGAGATTGCCGTGGACTCCTCCCAATATGAACGTAGTTTCGTGTAAAAGGCTGACACTGAATTCTTTTCTTGTTGAAGCAGGCTAATCATCCGACGCAACTCATATGCGCGAGACGCATTGCCCTGCCCAAACCGATTGCGAAGATCATCCCAAATCTCACGAGATGTCTCGGCAAACCGGATGCTGCTACGAATCTCCTTGTTCATCGCAGTCTTGAGCCATCCTTTGACCATGGCGTCACAACGGATCCAAGCGTTCCGCATATCTCCCGCGGCAGGCTTGGCTAACGATCCATCAACAAAAGCAAACTTATTCTTAGCAATAAGAGAATCCTTCATGTCGAGAGCCCACTCTCCATAATTGGTAGACGTCAAAATATCACCGACCAAGAGTTGTCCTGGCCCATCGGAATTGTGAAGAAGAAGAACTGGCGGGAGATTGTTGCCGCCGTCGTCGAACTGGGTACCGCTGCTGGAACCGTCAGCAGTGGGCTTGCCGTCCGTCATTGTTGCAAGAGGCTAGTAGGATGCTACTGCTCTGATACCATGTTAAATTGAGAAGAACTTCCAATCGTAAATAACGAGACAAGCGATTTTAACGTGGTATCCCCGATGGTGATCGGGACTAATCCACGGGAGGGTTGAATCCTCCAGCTACTGATTTTATTCAACTGGAATTGTTGACGGCATAAGCCGAGTACAGGAGCTATATAAACCCTTTCGACAAGTATCTAGGGTTAGTTTATTACTTGTGTCCTTGGAGAACACGGAAACCATGCAGGTCATGGGTTGCTGTATCACGTCTGTGGGTTTTGGTGCCTCGGCCATGGGCCGAGCCGACTCCTGGTCCAACACTTAAAATCTTCTGATGATTCATCAGGCCATCCAAGAGTGCTAAAGGGCCACAGAGCACTGCAGACAGAGGATAAAAAGTACGAGGCATCAGTGCATCACCTTCATCAGGCAAAAAATTATTTGCAGAACCAAAAAAAAAAAAAGAGTTATTCGGCATCATCCTATTTAAGCCTGGCGTTCAAAAGGTAGTACGGTCAAAGAAGTAGTCGTCCCTTCATCGTCCAGTTGGCATTCACGATCCAAGAAATGGTCGTCCCCTCTTCCGGTTCATTATTGAGCACATACCAACAATTCATCACTTTTCAAGCCGGGCATTCACGATGTTCATGCTCCAGCTTGAGGGGGAGAATAGGAGGTCAACATACGTCGGTCGACTACCTCAGTCATCAGGTCTACCGCGATGTACCAGGTGTGTTCAAGTTCAAGAGACGCAGTCAGTCGTCTCCATCATCAGGTTGTTTATTGAGAGTCAATCGTCTCCAATCAACCTCGTCCTAGATGTTATTCATCTCGAGTTTTGTGGTTCAAGCCATCATGCTTGTTCTTCACATTTACTTCTTCAAGCTCGACATTCTTGTCATTCATGTCTTCGCTTGAGGGGGAGTGTTGCGGTTACTTAAACCGTGTTAGTATTGGGCCTTGTTGGGCCTCGTTTGATTTGTTGGATTAGGGTTTTCACCCTACGTTTATCTATATAAACTTAGCTATCGACTTGTGTGATAGTAAGCCGTAAAGATGTAATCCTAATAAGAGATCAGTCGTGAGCTCTTATGAGCTCACCGTTGATTAGTCTCGATCAATCGATCGAGAATACCACGTAAAACTCTTTGTCCCGTGTTATTTTCAATTCCGCATCATCATATTCTACATCTACAACAAACAATATCAACGTACCTAAAGCATAGACTAGGCAATTTTAATGATTTTAATAAAACACAACGATAAAGTCATCCCGTTGCGAAGCACGGACAAATAAACCAGTAGATTTACTAGATGAAGATATAAAAAAAACATTGAAAAGGGCGACGGAAAAATGCATAAGAAGAGATTAACGTCGACAACATTTAAACAAAGAGTTGTTGCTTGTTGGTGGTTTTTATACTACTAGTCTAGTACTACGACTCCTCGCCGGCGATCGTGGCTAGTGATCATCCAAGTAACGTATGGCAGAGTTGAAAGCTTGAGTTAGATTATTCACCGCCTCCACCTTGTTACTCAAAACTCAAAAGTGACTCTTTCTTCTTGCCACGTTCCAGCTCCTCCTTGCATTCCTTCAGTTCCGCAGCCTTCTCCTCCAAGCTCAGCTGCAGCTCCTTGGTGGCTTCCTCCACCATCTTGCTGAAAACAGACTCTTTCTTCTTGATACGTTCCATCTCCTCCTTACATTCCTTGAGTTCTGCGCTGTTCACCTCCAGTTCCTCCTTGCATGCCGCCAGTTCCACAGTCTGCTCCTCCAATTTCTTCTTGCATGCCGTCAATTCAAAGTAGTCTTCCACCAAGCTCCGGCACAGCTTCTTCTTGAGTTCCCCCACCTTCTTGCAACGTTCCAGCTCCTCCTTGCATTCCTTCAGTTCAACGCTCTTCTCCTCTAATTCGTTCTTGCATGCCGCCAGTTCCATGTCCTTCGCCTCCAAGCTCTGCCGCAGCTCCTGAATGTCTTCCTCCGAACTGACGATTCCTCGAAGATCGAGAGGCACCTCAACACCGTATTTTGACCAACCAAAGTAATCGTTGATCCCAATAGCTTGTACAGGTATAAGATTGATCAGACAAATTATGCAAAGACCGAGACGATTCACAAAAATGCGGATCCCTCCGTCTTCAATTGCGCGGAGCTCATTAACCAACTCCTTGAATCTGTCTCCTTCCAACGTGGTACCAAATAGTTCTAGCGCCTTGCAATTTTCTGCCGTAGGGCCAACATGAACTCCATTAATCCAATGATCAGTAGACCAAGGGGTTTCTCGAATGATCTTGATATCACTCGTATCACCGTTGTACAACCACGCAATTAATTCTTCATCAGTACTTTCAGATGGCGTGATGAATTGGTTGTCGGATGTCAAACTGAACACTGACGACATTCTGACGTTTAACAGCGGAGAATTTGATAGATATCTTTGCCAGGATATCTTAAGGAAGCCTGTGACACCCAATATTTATAGAGGGAAAATCAAACATCGTGATCCTTCAGTTGCCGAAAGAATTAATTTGTATCCGTCTGCCAATCAAAGGGGCGCATTGCATTAATGAACATATGGGGAAAAGATTAGATTGATCTCTTCGTAATTCGATTTGCATTTACTTAATTCAATGTAACAACGAATGAAAAAAAAGGTCTCTGAAGAGCCATATATGTAGAACAACATCGATGTCCTCAGGTAATCAATTATATTCCTCGTAATTATCAAGGTATATTTTTCCTACCATATTGGTTTTGGAATTTTTGGTTTTATTTGGGCTTTAGTATTTGAAGGGCTCGAGATATATATGTGCACTAAGGTTGTCAACCCGCGGGTTGACCCGCGGGTCGACCCAGTTTGACCCTGACCCGATGAGAAAAACGGATCGTACGCACCTGTCGGGCCGACCGCTATAAGGTACCGGATTAGAGGTCAAATTGTGTCATTTTTTCCTTTGATTTGCGAAATGTGCCTATTTTTCGATTTTTCTTTTCGCCCAACTCAATCTTTGGAATCCTAAGTTGAACATTTGAATATTTATGTTATATAAGTGTGTGTGAATTTTCATTATATGTTGGATCTAAGTACGATATGTTATTTTGGTGTAATATAATATGTTATAACTCATATGTTAGATAAGATTTGATATAATTTATGAGGATAAGTACAATATAATGACTTTTTCCATATTTCCGGGCCAAACCGAGCTATAAAGGTTGACACATTAACTCTTGACCCACTACCTCGACCGGGTCCGGATCAACCCGCGGGTTGACAACCTTATTATGCAGCAACAGATGAGCCATGCAAGAAAGAAAAGATTCATCCAAAAGAGGGTTGACGGTAAGCCTCGGCCAGCGAAAGGAAACCAAGCGTCTAATGGCAAGTCATGATCAACACCAAGTCCCTATGCACATGCAGCAACTTAATTAATTAATTACTAGAGAATTAGCCCGTGCTACGCAACGGGATTTGATTTGTAATTCGTTTAATATATGCTGATAACTTGGTTGGCATTATCATTTATAGCCATTGAGGTTCCTTTAGTGGAGATCGAGGTCACCGATAGTTGCTGTGGTGCACCCGATATAGTGATCTGGATCACCAAAAGAAAGAGCAACTTGATTAAAACCCAGCACCAAATTAATATCACGTCAAACATAAATAAGTTTATATCGCTGAGAGTCTTAATCATATACGTTGTACCACTATAAAATTTTGTTGTGTTCGGTTTTGTACCTCTATAAATGTTTGTTCCATTCGGTTTTATTCCATCATAAGACAATTGTAGCTTAGAAAAGGTTGCCTTCAATACACGTTATTCTTGGCATGGTTAACACATATTGATAATTTTTTTAATAAAATTGTAGGGATGAATTATAAAATGAAACTTGAGTTGCTAACCCATTTCTAATTATATGTCTTATGGGTTTGGCGTATAAAGTCTATCACTATCAGTAATGTTCGGCAAAATTTGGTTACCTATGAAAGAGTATGAAAGGACTCCCTTCTTATATATCATGCTGCATGAATTACTCACTGTCGGTGTCCATGTAGTCTGCAACAATTATAAACACATTCATTGGTTAATGAACTTTAGGGAGAGTAAGAAATATATCATTATAGGCTATTTGAACTTATTTACCTGTGTGTGATGTTGGTGCGGTGTGCACATCAACAAATGTCTCGTGATATACTATATTTCTAGCATATGATTGTGGAACTTCGCCTTAGTTGTCAATCAGTATATGCAAGTCGTCAGCTGATCGAACTCGCGAAACTGCTACGTACAATTGTCCATGACTGAACACCCGCTTAGGCAGGTAAACCCCCACTATATCAAGACTTTGTCCCTGACTCTTGTTTATTGTCATTGCATAGCACACCCTGACTAGGAACTGTACATCTTACCTATCAATAGTGTCTTAGTTCCTACACGTTATCGCAAAGACTCAAAGTCACAGGAATCGGAGCTATCTGTAGCAGAGGTAGTAACATCTTCAAATTCTGTTGCCCAGACAATGGAGAGACCCAGGTTGTTTTTGCATGGTTTGTAGGATTCTTTGGCTAGCCATGGTATGAATTCCTTTATACCATATACGGATCCAACAATGCGTTTGGACTCCGAATGGCCAGCAAAAGTACGATCGCTAAGGCCATGGATCAACATGTCCTATAAAGAGACAAAGTCAGGGAGGTAGATAACTGTTGAACATATGATTAGAAGGGAAAGTGAAAGGTACTTTACCGTCTCGTCAACCCATAGGGTACTGCATACCCAGGATTGGCTGGATTTGTCGAAAGCCATGAGTGGAGGAGACGGAGTTTCAGTAGTCTCTTTTTGTCGCCGATTGTGGAGTTTCAAAGGACATATTGCAGATCGCAAGCAAGAGCAAGGATAGAGTTAACGTGAGAAGTAATGAAGCAATGCCATCGAACCAGAAAACGCTGTGTGCGATGTCTGGAGCGAACGAACTGTAGATCCAGCCAAGAACCATCACATTACACCTCTCCCAAGCACCGTGAAGAGGATCACCATGAAAAGGTGGCGCGACGGCGGGATCAATTAGCGACAGTTTGTTCTTCGCCAGAAGTGCAAGGCGCATAGACCTCGTCCATGCATAGTAGTTGTTCCCGTTGAAGACGACAGTGACGAGAGCCGACGCTGGATTATTTCCGGGATTAAGAAAGTAAGGATGACTTGGATCGAGCAATCCGGCGGGAGGGACGAACGAGAAATTCGCCCGAGTCGCCTAAGTTGATTGCGCCGATGAATTCGCCATTGGAGAACATATGAAAATCGAGAGAAAGCGGAAGTTTTCGAAGGAAAAAACGAAACACTAGAACGAGAATTGGGAAAGTAAGAGAGAGAATCAAGATTTTGACTCCTCTGATACCATGTTGGTTCTTGTAAAGAAAAGGTCTACTTCTATTATTAATGAAACGCTAGAAAAAATACATTGTCTCATTTATATATATATAAAGTCTGTGTAATATAAAATAACTAAACACTACTATAATAAACAAACATTACAGTATAGTATACTTCTAATTTGTTACAATAGAGTCATCCAACAAATTGTGTATTAAAGTGTCTTGTCCAAATACTAGAAAGGAAATTGGATTGCGGGTTCAACATCCATTTTCTCCATAGAGATGCCAGATGAGCCCCTTCAATTTGACAAAAGGCAAAATGAGAGTATAACAATTAGGAGTGAAATTTTGTCAAATCCAACCCTGACACTAGAACTATTCTAAAATACTAGTTTATACATACCCTGTCGGAATATTTTGAGATATATATTTCTATGATTTATCATGATAAATAGTTAAATACATTTTGTTTGGAAAAAGGTTTGCTCTGCTAAATCCACAACCCCTAAAATCATACCAAGGTGAGAAAACGTCAAGACTTCAAAGTGGCTTAAATCCTCAAATCCCTTCAAATCTTTAATTACTATCTTATTTGTATATATATTTAGAAAACGTCTACAACGGCTCAAATTGACCGTACCCCGATCATACCATTAAACCTCAAACCCCTTACTTGACCGACTCAATGACTTCAACCGGTTTGACAACCTTGATAATACCTCATTTAACCTCCACTACCTATTAAACACCAACCTCCATTAACTACCTAATCCATCAGCCAATAGAAACGACTTAAGAGTTTCCCTAAACAGTGAGACTTAAGGACTCGATCTGACTTGGGTTTGAAGAAATGGAGGGCGAGAATTTGCAGCCTATGAGTTCATGACCTCGAGAAAAGATAGTGGTTGTAAAGCCCATGCCGTTATGTCCAAAGAAATTCACTGTAGAAAGGCGTCACCTCAAGCCTTTAAATCTCTATTTTTCCGTGCTCTTCTTCCACACTCATTAGGTAACATCTTAGGTATTTGGGTAAGAACCCCTAACCTAGCTTAGGGTTTGTGTATATAATGGTTGATTTGGTTGTAATTATAGTATGTCTTGTCTATTTGATGTGCTTATTGCTTTATACATATCTTCATTGCATGCGGGTGATGATTTAAAGGCTTGACCTAATGTAGGTGACCATTCACTTAAGTCAAGTAGGGGCTATAATCAAATAGTGCAATTTTAAGTGATTGCATGACCATTGAGTTGGCTAGTTATCCGATTATGGGTTCATTCCGATCAATAATGATTGAGCATCTCCCTAGCTATGGTGATCAATTGCATCCTCCAAGTAGCATTAGGTCTTCCCGATCATGAGGAAATATGACCTCTCGTCACAACTATACTACGCCACCTAATCGAGTTATACCTGGCTTGATTAGGTGTAGTAGAGTAGTAGAGCATCGAACTCTTGGAAAACGATCATGTTTTGGCACCGTTGTTGGAGACATCTGTGAAGCTATTGTGAATTAAGATGAGCGTTTAAGTAATTTTCATACTAGGGCTGAAAAAAGACAAGCAACAAAAGGACAAGCCCTTCATCCTCTCAGAAAGACCATTCTTGCAACCGCAAGAACCATCATCGTCTTATAAGTGCATATATCAGATTATTGAGCTTCGGAGATGATTAGTTTTACTACTGAATGAGTTTCATATATAACTTTCCCAAGCTTCTCAAATGGGAAGATATATAATTGGAGTCTGAGCTAGTTACACCTCCACACTTCGGTTGTGCTTCCTTGACCCGAACAACTTCCGCCATCAAATATCCTCGCCCTTGCTTTCTCTGCCTGAATTCCATGCAATATACATATAGCAAATAATAAAAACACTGAATCAACAATTGAACACAACACAACAGTAAGTAGTAATCAAATTCAGAGATTAATTTGAGGGGAAAAGAAACAGAGGACCTGCCGATCCCAATTGGTGAAGGCAGTGATGAAAGCAAGCAAAACAGCTTGGAGGGTCGATGCGGTCAGTATCCCAACCCACAGCCCTTTCCCTCCGAGATGGAGGACGAAGCACATCAGCACCGCCACCGGCATCCCGACGCCGTAGTACGCTCCTAGATTCACATACGCTCCTATGTGCTGCCACCCGCTCCCCCTCGCCACTCCTGCATCCCCACATTTCCAGTACGCAATCGGGCATATACGGAAAAAAAAAATGATATAAGATTCATTATTGATAAACATGTGATTCATTGATTAATTGTCGCCCTGTCTGCGACGTAGCGTACGTACCGGAGAGTACTGCAAGGAAGCTGTCTACGACGACGGAGAGACAGAGCAGCGGAGCCACATCGGCCACGTACGCCACCACCGCCTCGTCGTTGCTGAAAACGTAGCCGAAGAATCCGCGGCAGTAGAACAGTGTGGTGCTGACGATGATTGCCTCGAGGGTCGAAATCCCGACTGCTGATTGGATCACTGCTTTGGCTTTCTCCGGATTCCCTGCCCCGAGCTCGTTCGACACCCCAGTGCTGTTGGAGACACGGGTTTTTTTTATATATAGCCCATTTGCGTAATTCGAAACTCAAATTTAACTTTTGGAGAAAGAAGAGCAATTCATGTAATGAAACCTGGCAGCAGCTCCAATGCCATATTGCACATAGTAGTGAAGCGAAGTAGTTGTAACGCTGCAAGTGGAATCAGAAAAGCAATAGCTATTAGTTATAATTAATAACCACTCAATCGACAATTTCGGAAAACCCAAAAAAAAAAAAGAATTTGAGGAAACTGGTTTTACCAAATGGAAAGGACTGAAGACTGGAGCGTTGCATCAGGTAGCAATCCAGCCAGCAGGACAAGTAGCTCAAAAGTCCACCATTCCAGGCTACGGTATAAGTACACATGCTATTAGGAATTTTCTGTTGGGACTTTATGAACGAGAGTATCTAGGTAGAATAGGTCGAAATCGGGAGACTAGGATTGTGATAGAGTCGTGAACTATGTTCATTTCTGAAAAGAAAATCATTATCGTCTACAAAATTTTGGGCTACAGAAAATTTCTCCCGATGATATAAAACTATCACCACTTTAGGTTTCTAGACTTAAGAACGCTAAAGCAAAATTAAAAGTTTATGGAAGAAGAAGAATATCACTTTGATCGTCCCCACACATATATTTATAAAGGTCGAATCAATGCATTGTTTCATGAAATGTTGTCTTTATTCATATAAAAAGTTATCATTATCCATAAGATGTTCCCTATCCATAAGGTCATCCTTATCCAAAAAAATGCAACGGCCAATAAATCAAATGGATGTGCGTCTTCTGGAATTAGAATGCTTAATTTGGTCGTTCCATTCCAACCCCAAATTGAATTTTTTTAGTGCAACCTCACACCAGTCTGACTATGTTAGTCCGGTTCAACCAAATTTCCAACATCTTCCCCTCAATACAACAATATCGAGTAAATATAAAGTAACTTTGAAGGTCATTGGAAGTATGTGAGAGAGAGACACCCCTAACTAAGATGAGGAATACTAACCAGACCATGACTGCAGAAGGGACAGCGAACCTCCAGAACTCCCTCACGCTGGGCCCAAAATCATTCCAACACATCCCACGAGTCTTCTCACACGAAGAAGCCCATCTCACGTACAAAATCAGCAAAACGGCATTGAACCAGTACGCCAGCCCAACAGCCAGAGCCGCCCCAACGTTCTCGAGCCCAAACTTATAGACCATAGCCCAGCAGATTGGGACATGCCCACAGAGCGCCGCCACGGCGCTCAGGAGCATGGGGAGGGTCAGCCCTTGGGACTGCATGTATCTATTCAGTGGCTGCAGAACAGCATCGCCGAACAGAGCAGGGATCAAGTTGACGGCGTATTGGGCGGCCACCCTCGAGATCTCTGGGTCTTGGCCGATTGAAACTAGAAGGTCGTCCATGAAGCGCCAGAGGATCGAGACTGGGATGCAGACTGGAAGGAGGGAGATGATGGAACAGTAAGTGTAGGTCCCGCATTTCTTGTACTGCTCTGCCCCGTACGCTTGCCCGCACAGCGTTTCAAGTGCTCCTGATAATCCAAACTGCAAAGGAATAATAGTTTAATAGTTTTACATAGTGTGTTTTAATGACTATTATAGAACGGTGTTATCTTTTTGTAATGTGTGGCCTGATCATAAAATTGTTATCACCGTCATATAATTAACTTATCGCTATGGTAAGACTAACTGCTGCACATCATACCACTATTATATCATGGTATTACTATGATTTAGTGATAATACCATTATAATGACAGTGATATATGATGCATTCAAATTATTTTGTCAAGCACAATATATAGTGGTAATAATATTATTATATGGCTAAAATAAGATGTCATCACATTTTTTTTTCTAAACATAAAGCCTCATACCAACATCATATCATTATCATAGCATGGTATTATCATTATACCATAGTGATAATATTATGATATGATGTCATCAAAATATTTTGTCAAAAATAAGACCTCATACAAACATCATATCAAAAGCATATCACTATGATAACATACCGTTGTCAATGGTAACATCGTGATATGATAGTGGCATGATAAAAAAAAATCAAAATGGATATCAACTTGTAGATCACAAAAAATCTTTAATTTCTATGGAAAATTTTTGGAAATTTCATTTAAAACAAATGAGCTATGATCCGTTGAATTTTAAATATTTTTTTTTTTTTTTTGAAAAAGTGACTTGACAACACTACTGAAAATCTGCGCGCTGCTCCAAAAATCCAATCTAACTGCGTACAAAGAATCTGGTCAGCTATCTCCTAATTTTCCTTGTATGTACCATAAATATACGTACCAGGACGGCGAAGCCGGTGACGTTGGTGAAGGAAGTGGCGATGGCGACGCCGGAGAGGGAGAGCTCGTCGACGTGTCCAGACATCATTAAGGAAACGACCTGAACGAGGTACTGGGACACCGAAACCACAACCATGGGAGCTGCCATTTGCGTCACCTTCTTGAGCTGTTCCACCAACAAATCCGTTTTCCCTCTGCTGCTGATCATCGTGTTTGTCTCTGCTACTTCGTCGTCCGGTACAAGTTGCAGCTTCTCCAGCTCCAGAGACTCCATAATATTACTTCCACCGCTAGTACTTAGTTTTCCTTCTCAGAGCTTCTTCTGGGAATAAATAAAAAAGAGGTAGAGAGAGATGGTGTGGGAAGGTAGTTGGCAACAAGGTTTAGTGGATATCCGGTCGAATTCTAATCGGGTAGGATAAAATTGGAATTCAAAGGATTTTTAATGGATATAGGGTAAAACTTGAATCTGAATATTATGAGTGATTGGGTGATGGGTGGCCATAGTTTTTTCACTGTTCAATCCGAACCCGCCTGATTCTACACGTGCATATGTATAATTATTTAAAAAAATTGTCATTATTTTTCTTAAAATATTTATATCATATATATATAATATTTTCATGAAATTTTGTTGCTGTCAGCTAATTTTATTTGTGCACATTTTCACTTACATAGTGTTAATATATGTGAAATTATTAACATGTTGATTGAAGTTAAAAAAAATAAATGATTATCCATGAATAACTGTGAATATCTTAAACCCGATTAAGTATGAATATGATTGTGATACATGTGATGGGTTTATCTATAATTCTGGCACTATTAAGCAATAAAAATGCATAGTTGAAGGGTAAAACGGTAACCACAACAATAAGACCAAATCTACCATCTAAAAATTGCTCCACAAACGATACATTTGGAATTGTGTACATTTTCACAAATGTCTACGTTCGAAAATACATCAAGCAATCAACCCCAATGTTTTTAGCTTAGATAATAGTTTGGTGAGCTTTCAGGGATTAATTTGGCAGCTTTGTCATTTTTCGAAATTGTCAATGCTTAGGGAGAGCTCTCATAGCAATCAAAGCTCACTCCGTGGTCACCTACAGCTACTAGAAGTAGGGATGAGAATTTCGACTTAACTCCGTGGTCACTTCTAATAATAATAATAATAGTAATATGTGCACGGTAAAGAAATAGTTGAGTATCATATATAGGTCTCTTCCAATAACTCGAAGTATTGAATCTAGTTGGTTTATGATATTATATAAGAGCTGGTTAGTAATTGATATCATGTGTTCAAGTCCTCACGATCCCTAATATTAATTGTTGTCTTAGAACACATGGTATTGGTGGCCCTGTGCAAACTTCAAGCCAGTGGGTTGGTTTTCATTTGAGGGGGCGTGTTAGGAAGTGGTTAGTACCATACATGAGCATCTTCCAACAACTAGAGTCATTGGGACCAGTTGGTTTATGAACCATTTTTATTGAACCATTTTTTATTGAACCATTTTTGTGAGATATTGTATTCAAGTAATCTAAGTGACATTTTTACAGTATTTGCTCAATCTTGTGTTTGTGTAGTATAATGCAATGTCTTAAAAATACATGTGGCGTGATGCTACCATACAACTAATGTAGTATATCTCAAGAACTAGTTGGTCTCGATAATTAACTTGTTGAGAGATGTCCAATTATGTATTTTATACCATTTACTAACACGCTCGTCAAACAAAAATCAACTCATATCGTCTTGAAGTTTGCACAGGTGACAGGTCCAAAACTCATGCTATTAAAAATGGGGTTGTTGTAATTCGAACACAAGACCTCCCAATAAATGAAGGCCCTAATACCATATAGGGATGAGCAAAATAAACCGTAACTCAACTCTAAAGCTGGAAAATGGATTGGTAGATACATGGATTGGTGGATTAATTCATAGATCCAAATGACATCCAAGTCTTTTACTCAAATGTATAGTCCACCGACCCAACCCAATTATAAACAAACCGTAAGGTTCTAATATTTTGGGTGGATTTGGATTTAGTGTTTTCAAAATCGAAGTGTATGGGTCGAGTGAATAAAACAACTAGAGCCGAATTACCCAACCCACATGTACGCTTCTTATACCATGTCAAAAACTAATTGATCACAATAACTTAATTTGTTGGGAGAAGTTCAATTGAAAGTAGTACACATGTCCGCCCCACGCTACTTTCGCTCGAATGTTACTCTGCCTAACGCGGATCATATCGGATAATACTGCAAATCCTAAGGTGAGGTGGATTACCACCCCCAAGTGTTTTTCCAATCTTTGAACTAACCTATTTTCTTACTTTGATTGCTTTTGTTTAATTAGAAGTAGCGATAACTGAACATTAAATCGACTAGCTAGATAGTAACATAGCTCTAGTAGAAGTATATGTACAGACTACAGACCCCGTGGAATACCACATTGATCGTCACTATATACTATAGTCTATAGTTCTAGACTAGTTATATTTGTCCTAATTTAGTGTAGTAAGTTTTAGGCGCAACCATTAAATGATCCCAACAACCTTAAGCCTAACTGGCTAGAACTATATTAAAAAAAATTGAATAAAACATACATGATAATGACATACACGTCGAGCATGGTGCTACACCCGTTAATTGAATCGACTCGAAAATAATCAAAGTACATATTTGACAATCGACTCGCGAATCAAGATCCTCCCCTGCGGTGGAGTGAAATTGTGAATCTTTTTCGATCCATCGATCATAATAAATTTATCAACAACTGGCTATCGAAACCAACTAGTTGTTAGAACCAGATTATGTTCCAGTTGATTGCTCTCGGAGTGATTTTCACTCAAAATCCAATCAATTTTCCCATAAATCAAATCATCCTCATGCTGCCTGAGTAAAGGTGTAAACTAAAAGGCAGAGGTCCATGCCAAATTTATACTGGAAATATAAATACTTGGGAGAATGCTTTGATTGTGTTGTGCGTGTAATCCAATAATCTAATATTATACTTTTTGGATTGTATATTTAAGCCTAATTGATCGCCTCGTCTGGATCCGCGGGGCTTCTTCATCATCAATAATTATTGTTTAATCAAAATTGCACATCACGGATAAATGGATAATGGACACTATTATTTCTGACTTCTGAGCATCTCTCTTTTAAAGACTTTTATGCTTTTTTTTTTCTTCCTGTCACGCCTCAATTATGCTGGCAAAATTATATTCCCATCAAATATCCTCTCTCTGGCTTTCTCTGCCTGCAATAGAAAACAACACAGTAGTTGTTAACTAATAGCTAATCAGTAGAGTAGTGACTAAATTCAGGGATGACTTGACGGAAAGAAACAGAGAACCTGTCGATCCCAATTGGTGAAGGCAGTGATGAAAGCAAGCAAAACAGCTTGGAGAGTGGATGCAGTCAGTATCCCTACCCACAGGCCTTTCCCTTCGAGATGGAAGACGAAGCACATCAGCACCGCCACCGGCATCCCGACGCCGTAGTACGCTCCTAGATTTACATATGCTCCTATGTGCTGCCACCCGCTCCCCCTCGCTACTCCTGCATGCCACATTTTGTTAGAAACGGAACAACAATCAAGAACGAGGTTATCGAATCTATCTGGAGCTGAGTCGCGCACTAGGTCCCTCTCTTAAAGACGTTCGCGACACTGCCCCTCGATGCGCATGGCAAACTATCAACCGGTCGTCTCCAGGATGAAGCAGCTCCGCTAGTATGTTCGGCGGTTTTGTGCGAAAACCGGAGCTCTATGAATACTCTCTCTATTGTGTTCCTGCTCGTTGTGGTATGTTTAGAGGGTTTCCGAGGAGTCGGCTATTTATAGGAGCCGAATCCCCCGGAATATTCCTCTTTCGTGGGGAATAAGTCACGGTAATTAAGGAGATAATTACTCCTTAATTAAAACCGAGTAAGTTAAGATAAATCATGTTGGATTATCCTTCGAACATTCCTTTTAATCGATTATCCTCTTCCACCTCGTATTTATCTAGGATAAAGAATAACCAATTCTCCAAAAAGATATAGTCTCAAGTTGACCCACCCACATTACCAAACTAACCGGTCGGATGGACGACGCGCGCGGGTGTGTCCGTTATGTCCTCCCTCTCCCACAAAAGTCGGTCACCCTAAGAGGACAATGCCCTCAGGAGAGAGGCTCCTATCTTTATACACATTTCTCCAAAGTAACTACCAATGTGGTTACGTACCGGAGAGTACTGCGAGGAAGCTGTCTACGACGACGGAGAGACAGAGCAGCGGAGCCACGTCGGCCACGTACGCCACCACCGCCTTGTCGTTGCTGAAAACGTAGCCGAAGAAGCTGCGGCAGCAGAAGAGCGTGGTGCTGACGATTGCCGCCTCCAGAATCGAAATCCCCACCGCCGATTGGATCACTGCTTTGGCTTTCTCTGGATTCCCTGCCCCCAGCTCGTTCGACACCCCAGTGCTGTTGGAGACAAGTTTTTTTCCCCATATTTTTAGTCCATTTTCGTAATTTCAAAGTCCGGAATTTTTTTCCCTTATAAGAGTGTGACATAGGTTGATTTTTTTATATAGTATAAAATTAACCTGGCCGCCGCTCCAATTCCATATTGCACATAGTAGTGAAGCGATGTAGTTGTCAGGCTGTAAGTCGAATCAGAAAAAGCAACAATTAGTCATCACTAACCATTCAATTAGCAATTTTGATAAACCAAAACAAACCGAGAAAATTGGTTACCAAATGGAAAGGACCGAAGTCTCAAGCGCTGCATCGGGTAGCAATCCAGCCAGCAGGACTAGCAGCTCAAACGTCCACCATTCCAAACTACAATATAAGCATAACACAAATTCAAAATCATCGCAGTTATCGTGACCGCCGATTTTTTTGAGGTTCGACCTACGAACCGCGATACCCTGACCGGTTTGAATCATATATACCGAACTACGGTCTACCCAGAGTATTAGAAATATACTAACCAGACCATGACGGCAGAAGGGACAGCGAACCTCCAGAACTCCGTCACACTCGCCCCCAAATCATCCCAACACATCCCACGTGTCTTCTCGCACGAACCAGCCCACCTCATGTACAGAACCAGCAGCCCGGCATTGAACCAGTAGGCCAGCCCAATCGCCAGAGCGGCCCCAACGTTCCCGAGCCCAAACTTGTACACCAGAGCCCAACAGACCGGCACGTGACCACAGAGCGCGGCCACGGAGCTCAGCAGCATCGGGAGCGTCAGCCCTTGGGACTGGAAGTACCGGTTCAGCGGCTGCAAGACAGCGTCGCCGAACAGAGCAGGGATCAGGCAGACGGCGTACTGCCCGGCCACGCTCGCGATCTCCGGGTCCTGCCCGATCGAAACGAGGATGTCGTCGACGTAGTACCAGAGGATCGAGACGGGGACGCAGATCGGGACGAGGGAGATGATGGAGGCGTAGGTGTAGGTCCCGCATTTCCAGTACTGCTCCGCCCCGTACGCTTGTCCGCACAGCGTTTCGAGCGCTCCTGCCAATCCGAACTGGCGAGGGGACAATAATAGTTAGTTTCTGATTTGGGAATTTGATTGTTAATTTGATCGTCCGGTGGGGGAAACATTATCGACTTGAATTCGGGACAGCTATTCGAAATCTTAGCGAAAGAATTGATATGCATATATAACTTATGTACCAGGAGGGCGAAGCCGGTGACGTTGGTGCAGGAAGTGGCGATGGCGACGCCGGAGAGGGAGAGCTCGCCGAGGTGTCCGGACATCATCAGCGAGACGACCTGGACGAGGTACTGGGTGACGGAGACGACGACCATGGGAGCGGCCATTCGGGTCACCTTCTTGAGCTGGTCAAGCAAGACATCCATTTTCTTCCTCCGCCCTGTTAATCTGCTGCTTGGATTTGTTGTCGTCTCTGCTACTTTGTAGTCATCGTGTGGCGGCGGTAGCTGTTGTAGCTTCTCCAGCAACGGAGACTGATCCATGTTACTTCCAGCAGGTGTTTGTTTCTCTGGGTGGGAAAACAGGGGCGAAAAGGAACTGGATCAGACTTCAGAGCTTTTCTCTGGGCAGAGAGAGGAAGAGGAAGACGGTGGGAAGTGGGGAATCGAGAACGAGACTATTAATTGTGAGAGTGAACGTTTTGGAAACGTAAAGCTGTGGTGGGCAGGCAGGAAACTGGGGCAGAGTGGTGGGGGGAAATACAGAGTAAATAACTAAAGGACAGGGCAGGGGATGTTAAAATTGGGACTTAGAAGATAAGGAGACAGCAGCAGCAGCTCTTAATTGAATGCACGTTTATCCAGGGATAGACTTTCTGGAGTAGGTTTTAACTAGCAATAAAGTGGTTATAAACATTTCGCTAATGGATTGCGGTTCTCATTAATTTGAACCGGACCGAACCGTTGCACCACCCTATAATATAAGTATTGTCTTATAATCCAAACGGTTATTTCTTCACTTTGCATCTATATTCTCATTCAAGCTGTCCACTTAATTTTGGGATAAAACAAAGAAATGTAGAGTGTGATTGCTGACTCGCTGCAAAAATTACTAAGATTAAACACATTACCGACGGGTAAATTGCAAGGTTGGTCACTGAAAGTGTTAACAACGTAACGTTTGATCACTAAAAGTATTTTATTTCATTCGTGGTCACTAAAAGTAGTTAAACTTTCACGTTTGGTCACTCTCCGTTAGTCTCCGTCATCCTCCGTTAACACCGTCAATATTTTGTTGATGTGGCTAACAGAAGTGCCTAATCAACCAAATTTAACATGCCACATCATAACACCCGACCCGCCACATCATAAATCCTAACCCAAGCCCAACCCATAGCCCAACCTTCTCTTTTGACCCGCCAGACCTAAAAATTGAGTCAATCAACTCTGCTTTCTTCCTTGTGACGATAGAAGAGGCAGTCGAGGTGAAGGAAAACGAGAAGGTGGTGAAGATGAAGGATGGGTTGCAATCAATGGCGATCATATACTACCCTCCTTGCCTGCAACCAGAGTTGGTGCTGGGATTCACCTCGCACTCCGATGCCACCTACAACACCATCCTCAGCCAAGTCAACAACGTCGAGGGTTTGCAGATCAAGACGAGAGGATGCAGAGGAGGAATCCCTATCATCCCACCGACGCCACCATACCTACAGTTGCCGCCGCTCTCGTCCGACTTTGCTCTCTTCTAGTCTCCTCGATTTCCCGTGTCCATCGCTGAACTTTTGTCACATAAAAAACCCTCCAGTGTGCGCTGTTAGACGCCATTTGATACTCTCCAAAGTGAGAAGCAAGTTAATTAGCGACTGAGATGGGATTGCAATAAAACCCTCCATTGCGCGATCCAAACTTCCACTTCCAACTTCAACAAATATCCCCTCCCAGCCAGATTGATTCCTAAAAACCTCCACCCCTTACGAAAACCTAGAAAATAAAACCCTAATCACAAAGCACAGCCACCAAACAAGCCAACCACACCAACCCCGCTGAAACACAGAACCCTTAGGGATTTAGAACCCACAATCGTCTTCTTCAAAATCTCGCGGGGTGGGCTATTGCGGCGGCACACAATTCATACCCAAGTGCCGATTCCAAACCCCAATACCCAATGCAAGAGGAACAACTAAGCATTGGTTGGCGTTGTATGCAAATGTTGGTGGGTTCTATCTTGCGTCTCTGCCTAGTCAAAGAATCTGGGAACACAGACGAGGAGATGGGGAAAAGGGGGTCACAGGTTCTATCTTGAAGCAATGGCAGGGATGATATTTGGTTGGGAAGAGGGGTTAATGAGTTGAGTTGGTCAAAAGAGAAGGTTGGGTTATGGGTTGGGCTTGGGTTAGGAATTATGATGTGGTGGGTAGGGTTTTGTGATGTGGCAGGTTAAAGTTGGTTGAGTAGGTACTCCTGTTAGCCACATCAGCAACATACTAACGATGTTAATGGAATCCAACGGAGATTAACGGAGAGTGAGCAAACGTGAACGTTTAACCACATCTAGTGACCACGAATGGAATAAAATACTATTAGTGACCAAACATAAATGTCTTAGCACTTTTAGTGACCAACCTTGCAATTTACCCCATTACCAACACTCCAACATTTAAACCTCCTCCTAAACAGTTTGGTTAGAAATATGAAAGGAAACACACGAAATTACTGGTTTCTAAAGTTTTAGAACATTTATTAATTTATTATTATGTCAAACTTTTGTGATCATTTTGATTAATTACCCGACAATAATGTATAACAAAAGATTAAAAAAAGCAAGATAATGGTGGAGACACAGAAGAAGATAGGCAGACAAGATCGGGGGAAAAAGTATCGAAGGGATGGGCTATTTCATTCTTGGCCATTTACACCGTGACAAGGTGACCTATTATTGTTGTTCCTCCCGTTTCAGGAATCAATTATCTTGACAAATCACAGCACATTTTTGTTAGCTAGATATCAAGTTGGTTAGCTTTCGACAATTAATTTGGCAGTTCTATCATTATTCCAATTTGCCAATGCTTAGGGGGAGCCCTCATAGCAATCAAGCTCAATCCGTGGTAGCTCCAGGAGCTACTAAATGATACTAGTACATAATAAATGTACCAATGATAAATTGAAAATGCCCAAATTTTCATTATCGAGAAATGGATCTTCCACTAGTTTCATTAATAGAATTATACTCGTGCATAAGAACATCCACATTGGTATTGCATTTTCAATTGCAAGATGACATGTAATGGCTGTTTGTAATTGCAACGCCAACTGCATTGATGTGACTATCAATTGCATATTTACAAGCTTGCAACAAATGTTATTCCATAGACAAGTAAAAAAACCCTTCAAAAATTGAGATTTTTAATTTTATATTATTATTTTTCTTTTATATTACTTTGTATCATTTAAAGATAATATTTAATTACATATGCAATTACAAGTTAATTGCATTGATGTAGGTGAATGAAATTGATTTGATGTGGATTGCAAATAAATTGAGTTGGCAATAAAGAGTACAAATGCAATTGCTTTTACAATTGCATTGATGTGGATGCTCTAAATGATAGGTTAGTAAGGGTTTTACGTAGGGGTGTACATGAGTCGGGTGTTTCGGGTTTAGTCATTTTAATCACCCGACCCATGCACTACGGTTTGGAAAATATCAAACTCAAACTCACCCAAAAAAATTTAAACCCTACGGTTTGTTTCTAATTGGGTTGGGTCAGGTTGGCGATATTTTTAAATTTTAAGTAAAAACCCAACCCAACATAAAATATATAATTATTCTACATCATAAAAATAATTTTATAACTAATTAAAATTTCAAACGAATGAACCAAGGTGAAAGATATCAACAAATGTTGTTTAAATTTTAATAAAATGTGATTTACTTCGTCTTGTTTTTTTCACAATATTTGTTGAAATAGGCTAAAAATATTATAAACAAACGCATCCATCATATGTTATTCTATTAAAATTGTACACAAGAAAAAGGATTACGTGAATCATAACTATATTCAATTTATGTCTAAACTTTAAGTCGAAGAATGCATTAGATTAGGGAGACCATGAGAGAAAAAGATGGCGAAATATCTTAATTTTATCATAAGTATATGACTATATACGACATAAATATTTTTTAGATCCGAACTCATACTAATAGTTGGAACATGGGTTGTGTCGAGTTCTACGGGTTATGTAATCCAAAATCCAAACCCAACCCAAAAGAGGCGGATTGTACAAAAGAAAACTCTCACCCAATCCAAAACCTTCATTTTAGCCATAAATACTAGTGGGTTGGGTCGGATTGGACGGGGGATCGATTTGCGGGTGTGTTTGTTCACCCCTACTTTTATGCACATGTGAAATGAATTGAGCACAAGAAGAACGTACCTGGAAATCCTAAGATTACTTCCTTTTATAATGAATAATGCCAAGTCCTACTCAGAGGTTTTCATGTATAAAGATATAGTTCACTCATTGAAAACTTTTAAACAGTGAGACACAACTTTAGAATTTAACTCACGACAAATAGTAGCAAGCACGGTATTCGAATATATCGACTAGCCTTGAATATCATGACGAGGACAAGATGAACCTACTTGGAAATCTTAAGACTACTTCCTTTCTTTCGTAATGGATAATGCCAAGTCCTTCTACTTAGAGGTTTTCATGTATAAAGATACAATTCACCGAGATACAGTTGCAGAGTTTAAGAACACACAACAAATAGCAGCAGGCGCGATATCCAAACATATCGAATGGTTTTGAGTATCATGGCAAGAACTAGGGGTGGAGATCTGTCGGTTTCAGTTTAAACCAACGGTTAACCGACAACAGGAAACCGAACCTCCACCCCTAGCGAGAACATTCTTCATAGTCAATACACTAACCGACCTAGATCGCGTATCACCATAGAGACTACAAAATACACTCATGATATAATACATGCCCCCACTAAACGACCCTAGTCTTTTTAGCTTACAACAAGCTCCATTTAGCTCCATTAAGATATCATGAGCTAACTTGGACACCTCTCAAAGATCCAACAAGCTTCTATTAGCTCTCATGAGCTCTGATAGGCAGCAAACCAGACCAAGGCTCTTCTAACAATAGTGAATACACGCCAATGCTGTGAAAAATAATCTAATCCCGAACAAGGTTACATTCAAATAACAAAACACATATTATCCCCGACGATCCTGTTACTTGTAAACTCGGAGAGAGGAGAAGACAAAGAAGACGAGTTCAGCTGTGTGTAACAAGGAATCAATCTTTCGAACGTAAGGAGTAAGGGCGTATTTAGAAACCTTACAGAAAACACCCACCAAAGCTAATATTCCATCCACCTTGCACGTTGAACCACCAAATTAGTTGGCATACCACCCGAAAACACCAAACTGCGTACAAACAAAAGAACCTAACAGGGAACATAGCATCAGATGAAATTTTACAGCATTGGTGAAAGGGAACACACAAAGGCCAGCTTGCCCACAGATACAAAACAGAGGGAATACAGACAGAAACAGGTTGGGGGAAGGCTACATACCTTAGTTCTTGTGCTGCATCCTCCCACTTTCTGCACCGGCAAAAGGATCTATTGTGACATTGATAACTGCAGGTTTTCTTGCAGAGAAAGATTCTGTGAGTGCAGACCGGAGTTCATCAGGGGTTCCTACAAGATAACCTTTGCCCCCAAAGGCTTCAATTAGAAGATGATACGCAGCTCCAGGGACGAAAGAA